AATCTCTGTGGGTGGGACCCAGACACTTCTTTTTTAAGCTCACGTGGTGCTAATGGGAACCACTGGGTAGGGTTTTCTACTTTGCCCCCTTTATCCTTGTGAGTGTGGCTTTTTCTCCTCTCTTCACAGGCATCTGAGGATTTAAGATGAAGTAACCACATAGGTTTTTTAGTAAGTACCATTTGTGGCTGGAGACCAGCCTCCCAATCAAAGACTATCCTACACAGATCAGGCCTTTTTGGGGTGAGTAGGAGCTAGACAAGGGCATGAAAAGTGGCAGGCGGGGATCATCGGGGGCCGTCTTGGAGTCGCTCTCAGATATGTGCCTTAGTTTGTCTTCTAGGTGATAAAACTTCCAACCAGCCAGCCAAAAGACCTCAGACCACTGTCCTAGGATTGGGATGGCTGAGCCCTCTTTCCTGGGCTGAACACTGTAGCACAGTTTACATGGCTTTCCAGTTTCCGCCAAATGACACCAGTGGCAAATGGGTCAGGAGAGTGAGGAAACATTTTCCTTAGAGCAGGAGTTGGCAAACTGTCTCCATAAAGGACCATATAGTAAGCCATTTAGGCTTTCTGGGACAAGAGGCAAAATCGAGGCTCTCATGTAGGTGCTTATATAACAGAAGAGAAAACTCCTGCTCTGCCCCACCCAACCCCACTCACCTGGAATGAGCCATCCCCAGTGGTGGACGTGCTTGATGCCCGGTTTCCATCACCTGGAGATGTTCTTAGGACAAAGAGCCACTGGTTTGATGGGGAGGGGCTTGATGGACAGTGGGAGTGTTGATTGCCACAGTCATTTTCACTCTGCCAGTGTCACATAGACCCTGGAGCACAAATCTGGTTGTTTCAACTTGGGCCACTGGCCAGAGGGGAGGCAATTCACTGAGTTGGGATTCCACTGTTTCGTCCATGGCAGTTGCCAACAGTGAAGTCACCAGCATGAGATAGTGAGCAGTGTGGGCCCTGGGCGGGGGCAAGATGTGGCCACCAGCTAGGGAGGCTGGTGCTGGGCACGGAGGGGAGCACAGGGGCCAGGGCTGCATGTGACTTTTGTGGGCCCTCGGAACTTTGGCCTTCATGGGCCCTTCCTCCTTAAAAACATATTAAAGGTTATATTTTACAACTATGTTGGTATAAAGACACATATAATCCAGGCTGAATTATATTCTTTTCTTCTGATTTTAAAATAAGTTAAAATACTTTTGTGGGGCCCTGAAAGTACTATGGGCCCTAGGCTCTGTGCGTACTGTGCCTAATGGCTAAGTCGGCCCTGATGTGGGTGGAGAGGGTGAACCAAGCTTGGTCTCCGTGGCTCACAGTACTAGTCTGTTGGAGTGGTGCCCAAGGGCTACACAAAAACAAGCAGTGGGCTGGATTTGACTGTAGCCATGGTTGGCTGACCTCTGCTCTAGGTGACCAGATGTAATTACCTGAGAGAACTTCCAGTGGGCCATAGGATAAGAAGAAAAGACACGGTCACCTAAAGTGACTGGTAACCCCTACAGAGAGTTAGATCTCCCACCAGGTCCTGCCTCCGCATGGTCCTATTCTTTTTTCCCTAATTAAGTATTACTCACTTATGGAAAAGTACATAAAACATACGTGTACAACTAAATGAATTACCTCAAAGCAAACACTATCCAGATCAAGAAACAGGACTTTGCCAGCACTTCCAGAGGCTCCTCTTGTCTCCCTCCCAATCACTGCCCACTCTCTCCACCTGAAGGAGGGTACTAAAGTGACTTCTAACCCTGTAGATCAGTTTCGTTGGCATCAATGGAATAATACCCCATATCACATTGCACTTTGTGTCTGGTCTCTTTCTGTCCTGATCATTGTTGCTCTTGTGTTTCTGGAGGGACTACCACTCACAAGGTCCTTTTGTCATGAGACTCGTTGTCCTAGAGTGGCTTGGCTGGAGCTGAGGAGGGCCCGTGAGCAGCCAGCCGGCCTGCCCAGGATGCTGTGGGGACTAGAGATAAAAGGTACATTGATGCTACAAAGTGCCTAGCAACCAACCAGATGCCTTGTGACAGGCAGGCTAACAACCGGGAAAACCCCGCTGACTGCCATAGTTGATAAAGGAAGTTCCTCTTGACCTCAAGTCTAGACTCATTAGCCTCCACTTATTAAAAAGAAAAAAAAAATTTCTGACGGGGCAGACATGTATTCAACGTGCTTTATGCTTGAGTGTGAATCAAATCTTTTAACTGAAACTCACCTCCGGATCTCAGGGCTGCCACGTACAACTGTGAAGGCTGCGCACTGCACAACTCCAGGGGCATCATTTACATAGAATACAATGTGACCTTGCTGCCCATGGGACTGCACAGAGCAGTTGGCAGCATGTTAGCAGAATCAGCTGCCTGGATCCAGATCACGGTTTAACTTAGCTTGTGATCTAGATACATAGACCTTCATCAGTTATACATGTTTGGGGAAAAGGCTCTTCAAATTAGTTAAGTGTTTGGTTAACTCATTAGCCAGAAGTCCTTTCTTTTTTTTGGACCCAACGGGCTAAAAGGATTGAGTCTGTATTTGATGATTAAGATCTCACAGAATCTCCCGTGGGGGTGTGTGGGGAGGACGGAGGGCAGTGCGAAGGCGGGCAGTGATTACATTGTGAACATCAATTCGCTTTATCTGGGATGTATGTATAGAAGGAAACATCTCTATCTATACAGATGAAATGTCCAGAATGGGCAAATCCATGGAGACAGAAAGTAGATTCGTGGTTGCCAGATGTCCTGGGTTTCTTTTGGGGTGATGAAAATCTTCTGGAATTAGATTGTGGTGATAGTTGCACAACTCTGTAAATATACTAAACACCACTGAATTGTACACTTTTAAAGGGTAAATTTTGGTATATGGATGATATCTCAATAAAACTATAATTTTTTTAAAATAATGAAAAGACACTAAGTCTCCACTGACCTCAGGAAGCCCCTGAAACTATTTTTTCAAAGAATGAACACTTCTGAGCTTTATGTACGATTTTCCTTTTCCCCTAAAGGCAGAGCTTGGGGACAGTTGTGCCCTAGGCCCTGGGGCAAGTTCGCCTGCTACAAACCACCCTCAGAATCCCAAGGCTGTCATCTCAGTCTCATGTCTTGATCCAAATAATCTTAAATGTGCTAAAAATCTGGCCCAACACTTCTATATATTGCTCCTAAGACAAATAATTCAGTTTGAGACTCTGATGTGAGAAATTCTAAAATACTAAGATACTTGATTCCAACTCTCTGAAAAGATGGAAGCCCGGTGAGGACTCACGGCTGTCTTCCTGTGAGAGGCGGAGGTTTTCCTTCAGACCACTAACGTTGCCCTCTCCCCATGTACAATCTCCCTCCCCGAGAGCCCCAGGGGAAGGGCCTGCAGGTGGAGGGCCTGAGACCTTGAGGCAGACCAGAACCCCCATGCCCAAGCCTGCCTCTGCCTCCCTGAGCGTGGTGAGTAGGGTGGCGCTTAGGCCCGGAGAGAAGGCAGGGTGTTGTTGGGAGCGTCTGCGCCCTGGGCTGTGACTTGGCAGGCTACAGCTGAAGAGAGGAAAGCGTGAGTGGAGAACTTTTGTGGATGAGGGACATTCAAGTGCATCCTGACAATTGTTTACAAGGCCTGGCTCCTTTTAAGCAGTTGTCCAAATAGTTTTGGAACAAATGTTCAAAATGGGCTTGCTCCCGCACTACACAGGCACAGACGGCAGGGGGGCCCACGAGTTGAAAGAGAACTTCCTCTCAGTTGCCCCAAGGGAAAAAGGGATCATACATGAAGATGCCACGTGTGGGGCCCAGATGCAAAGCGACATGGAAGCTTTCCTGCCACCCTGCGTCTCATTTGAGCCAACACTGACAGAGCACCTCTGTGTGCCGAGCCTTTCTGAGCCCTTTATGTTAATTAACTCCTCTGCTCTTCACAATAGCCTATGCCCTTGGTATGATTATTATCCCCATTGTAAAGATGAGGAGACTGAGGCATGGAGATGTTATCATGCCCAGGGTCACACAGCAAGCAGGTGGCAGAGCTGGAACTGGAACCCAGACAGTGCACGCTCCCCCTTGGTACATGGTTGATGCTGTTCATGGACACACTTGGGGGCTCCTCTGAGCAGGCTCAGGCAACCTAACAGATCAGTGCCCTTTCTGCTCACGTGGGAAGAGGCAGCCTATGGAATTGCTCCTATTGATCTGGCTCCACTGAAAAGCTGGATCGCTGTGCACTAATCTCAACCTCCACACTCTCCGCAACAGACAATCAAGGCGGCCACAGTCCAAGGTGGGAGCCCAACCTCGCATTAGTAACAGGCCCCATCAATTCTTGATCTATGCAAACTCTCTCCTCATCCCTTTGGGCCTTGCCCAGAAATTAAAACCGACTTCTGTATGACATGAAGAGCCAGAAATGTCCAAGTCAGAATAGGGACCTGTTTCTTCAGAGGCTCCGGGGTCTGGAAACTCAGGCTTCCAGTGTGAACTTGTAGGATAATCCTATTATAAGAGGCTTCTAAATTCCCTAATTGTGCTGGAATGTGGTGTCACTGAAACTGAGATTATACGAAAGAATGGGCTGGGTGCGGTGGTGCCAATGGCAGAGGCATGGGCAACTGCCTTATGCACGGAATTCCTCAGTAATCCTACGACTGGGGCATTCTTCCAGCCCGGCTCTTGGCTTACAGGAGATGCTCAATTAGGGCCCGTTCACCTAGTTGTTCTAACAAGACTTAACTTTATGAGGTATGTGGCAAAACCACTCACTTTTTGCAAGAGCCCTGCCAGGGTTGAATAGGAGCCCAGAAGTGGCTGGATGCGACCCACACCACTGCCAGCTCTGCCCCAGCTCTGCCCACCTGAACAGCCCTACACTGCCTCAGGGGGGCCAGCTGGCTAAAAGCAGCAGGAAAAAAATTAACTCAGTTACCCGCAGGCCATCCCCCAGAAGAGCTCCATCAGTAAATGCCACTTCAAAACACAAGAAAGGAATAAAGGAACACACAGACCCTAGTAGAAACACTGGATTCATTTTTGAGGACTGCTATGTTTTAAGGCAAATGTCACGCGTACAAAACAGTCAGAGACGAACAGTACTCGAACAGTATCTATGACAACAGGTTAGAAGAGAACAGCGGGGAGACATCTTCAGACAATGAGAAAGCGGGATTTTCGCCAGCCGGGTCTGATTCCTCTCGTGGACTGAAAAATGAGAAAAGCAGCACCTTCTTCCTCCCAGGGGAAGGGGTGTGCTCATCATTGGGATTGTATACGGAAGGGCCCTGCTCCAGGCCATGCACTCTCCTCACTGCATTTCCAGGTCCAAGAAAGAGGCTGTGCAGTCACTGGGTCTCATTGTCCAGCTCTAATTTCCACATTTTGTGAAATTCATCTTTAGAAACAGGAACTCCAGGATGCCCAAGCCACACAACTTCCAGTTAGTTCACCTCTGGCCACATTCAAACTTGCTTGGATTGGAGCCAAACAACATACATACACACATAAATATGTATGCGTATACGTGTACATATAGAGCCATATATATGTGGAAGAAGGACAGATGAGATGCACTGAAACCTGAAAAACAGTGAATGTTCATTCGCAGTTTGGAATCAAATAAGGTGATTGTTTCCCCTTTGAAAACAGAAAGGTTATCAGCAACAAGCTGTGGCCGGAGGGTGAGTTTCCAGGGAGGCACCTCTCGACTCAGTCCCTCGTCATTCCTGGCTTCACAGGAGGTGGGAGTGGCTCAGCTGGTTTTGAGTTGGAGGGAGTTGGGCCTTCCCACCAGGCCGGGCCAGCTCTGTGCCCTTGGCTCTTCCCCACCCCTTCTGCTCAGGCACACGCCCCTCATTTTAATATGAGGGCGCTCAACTGTCTCTGTCCTGTCCGCCCATCCTCAGCACAAGGGGACACACATCGCAGTGGTGTGTTCCCTTCCTATAGGGCCCGGGTGACAGCAACACCACAGCAACAGGGAAAACAAGGGAATGAACGAGGCTGAAAGTGTGGGAGCTTTAATGGCCTGTTGTGGGGTGACAGACACACTACCTAGGTCTGGGAGTCACGGAAGTCAGGTACCGGGAAGCGTGGAAGGCGGGGTAGTGAACTCACGGACACTTGAAGGACATCCGGGAGAGGCAGCGCTGATGCTGTCACAGAACTACGGGGAGAACGAGTGGCGTGATAACACTGCTAATGCACACGGAGGAGGCCCTGCTCATCAAAGCTGTTCTGCCCAGGAGAACGAGGCCTCCAGGAGAAAGGTACCACTGGTACCGAATCAGAAGAGCAGAGGGGTGTCAGCACTCGCTATCCAAGAAGGGAGACGGTCGTTCTCATGGACCCACTCAGTTCGCCTCACCAAATCCCTCTGAGGTAGGTAAGAGGCAGGTGACACCAACCCATTTTACACACGGGGTAAAGTGAGGCCCCAGGACTCGCTGCAGGTCACACCGCGGAACAGCTGTCTTGTGCCTTTTCGGTCTTCCCTGTCCCTGGCAATGCTGGTCTTCTCTACAACACCCCCTCACCTAGATTCAAACCAAGTCCACGGAAATCAGCCCAAGCCAGGGGATCTGGGGATGGGGGCACCCCATTCCAATGAGTGGGTGGGTTTGTGTTTTATTTTTTAAATTTTTTGCTGCAACACAGCTTTGTAGGCAGGGTCTAGTTGAACTAAAATAATAGATTGATAAACCAACAAGGGTCCTGAACACGCCGACCACATCACACCCCCCAAGAGGAGAAGGCCTCTCTCTGGCCTGTTGCCAAATCAGAGTGGCTGGGGATAAAGCCACAGTGCTGTCAGAGGCCCGGGTCACGGAAGCAGAAAACTTCCCCAGGGCTGGGAGGAGAGTGGGGACAATGGTGTGTGTGCATCCTGTCATCCTGTCTTGATTAGGGTGCTTCCTTTCCCTCTGCAGGCTGCGTTCCCCCCTCCTGTCTTTTACCTCCGAATTTACATTATTTACTCAATGACACTGACCAGAGACCCTAGCAGTGCTAACACCACCTGGAATATTTCTAACCTGACAACGCGCAGCACATACATCCAGCCCACCACCGGCCATCGGTGACCCAGAAGCCAGCCACACCCAGCACACACTGAACACCTCAGTCCCAGCTCAGCGAAGTCCAGCCAAGGCTAAGAATTTGGGAACTTTTCCAACTACTTCGGCTCACAAGGCAATGTGACAGATGACTGCAAACCCCTAGGTCTGCCGGGGAAGCACCCAGCGCAGAGCTGACTGGGTGCGACGAGGCGTACACCAGCATCTTCCCAAACTTTAACCACCAGGTCCCGGTGAGACTGTTATTTCCAGAGCCTGGTAGCCCGAGGGCATGTTTCCAAACAGAGCCCGGGTGCACACACGGTGGCACCTGGACATGGATCAGGCCAAACATCAGTGTCCTGGTCCTCGGCAACCAGTTCCCGCTGGGAAGCCCAGTGCCTGTGTGAGAAGTAATCCTCAAACTGGTGACGGGGCCAAAGCATTGCTGGGAGGCTAAAAGTCAGAGAGGGCGTGCCAGTGTCCCGCGGCTGCACTAACAGGGCGGGGCACCACTGCGGGCAGGCCAGCCCGACGCCCGGCCCCATCACAGAACCGACTCCTTTGATTCCAGTTCTGGGGCGCTGGCTGCAGGGGCAGCGGGCTTCTGGTGGGTCACCAGAGGCGACGTCTCCTCCTCCGACTTGCAGTTGGGGATGGCTTCCACTTTCACCTCACTCAGTTCCTGCGCCCCTTTCTTCATGGCTTTCTGATTCAGGTGGTGGAGAATGCCCGCACCCAGGGCGTCCCCTTCCACATTCACCACGGTGGTGGTGCGGTCCCTGGGAGAAAAGAAAAAGGCAAGTAGAAATACCATATGATCCACCTATCCCACTACTGGGTATTTATCCAAAGAACGTAAAATCAACAATTCAAAGGATTTATGTGCCCCTATGTTCATCGCAGCGTTATTCACAATAGCCAAGACATGGAAGCAACCTAAGTGCCCATCAAGAGATGAATGGATAAAGAAGATGCGGCATATATACACAATGGAATACTACTCAGCCATAAAAAAGGACAAAATCGTACCATTTGTGACAACATGGATGGACCTTGAGGGTATTATGCTAAGTGAAATAAGCCAGACAGAGAAAGACAAACACCATATGATTTCACTCATATGTGGAAGATAAACAAACACAGGGATAAGGAGAATAGATTGGTGGTTACCAGAGAAGGGGGCCAGGGGAGGGAGAAAGGGGTAAAGGGGCAGATACGTATGGTGATGGATAAAAACTGGACTGTTAGTGGTGAGCACAATGCAGTCTATACAGAAACTGATATATAATAATGTATACCTGAAATTTACAAGATGTTATAAGCCAATATGATTTTAATAAAATAATTTTTTTTTAAAAAGGAAAAAGGCAGGCATTACAGCTGATGCTGCCTGCAGCAACCATGGGGGCGGCCCAGTCACAGCAGGCTGAACAGCCACTGGAGAAGCTGTGACCCTGAGGGGGCCCTGCTGATTCCTGGAGAGCATGCTACTGAGGGCATAAGGCCTCATTTTACTCTAAATTGATTTTCTTTAAATACGTTTATTCTTATGAAAGTAACAGACCTTCACTGTAGAAAACTTAGAAAAAAGGGAAATATGAAGAAGAAAACAAAAGTGCCCCCCCAATACTCCACCGCTCTGAGCGGTCAGTACCCATTTTTTGACCTGTTTCCCTGCAGTTACTTTCTATGTGTGTATCCTATGTGGGATAGGCCCGTCATATAAAAGTCGCAGATGACTGGGATAATAACAGATACAGTTTTGCGTCCAGCTTGTGCCCCACTCACTCTCACACTGTGGGAGCTTCCCCTCTTTTTCTCACTGTGACACTGCATCTCTACTGAATATTAATCTTCATGTGAATCCACGGCTGTTGGCAAACACCGTCTCACAACAAATAGCACTGTCCTTTCCAGAAGCTTGTCTTCCCATAGATTAGCCCAATAGCCACCCTCCGTCCCCGGGGCTCAGAGGAAGTATTGTGCCCATTTTGAAGAGAGGGGAAAATGTGCAGTTGCCTGAGGGCACGGAGAAGCTGAGGGCTGCGGCATCACAGGCCACAGGGTGGCGAGGGCTCGTGTGACCTCACATCTCCACCGGGCAGCCCGCTGGTGCCCTATTGCCCTATTCCTGCCTCAGCACCTCTCAGAGGCCTGCCTTCCCCATGCGGAGGAGGCTGCTGGCGGAGGAAGGAGACAGGGCCTCTGGTCCTGTCTAACTCACCAGCTCCGGGACTGAGTTCCCTCTGATGAGTTGTCTCGACAATGCTGGACATTTCACCTTCATTGCTCTGAGTTGCCATAAAGATTCTGAGAAACCCCTTCAAGTTTCTAGGGCTTAAAAAAAAGGTTGGGGCCAGCCTGGTTAGTGCAGTGGTTAAGCCCGTGGGCTCCACTTCAGCAGCCCAGGGCTCACGGGGTCGGATCCCAGGCGTGGCCCTACACACTGCTCATCACGCTATACTACGGTCGTGTCCCAAGTACAAAATGGAGGAAGATTGGCACAGATGTTAGCTCAGGACCAATCTTCCTTACCAAAAAAAAGAAAAAAAGGTTGGAAACCACCTTTTCCAATCACAGTGGGCAGAGCTATGAGCCCAGTGCCAGGCTCCAGTATTTAGGTCAACCCGTGCATGGCTCTGACTAGCCTGGCCAGGAGTGTCTTTCTTCACTAATATTTACTGAATGTTTTACCACATGCCCAGAACTCTTCTATGTGCTGTGCATGTGCTAACTCATTTAACCTCCACCACAACTCTGGTGTAGGTTCAATTATTCTTCCCATTTCACAGAGGAGCAGACCAAAGCCCAGAACAGCTCCTATCGCACAACTAGTAAATGGAAAATGTCTTGCGTGTGGGCTCCCTCACCAGGGAGGGAGCATGTTTTAAGTTTCTCTGCATGCCCCAGGCCCAGCAGAGTGCCAAGCTCCTAGGGAACTCAATACAGACTTTCTTTTATTCGGTGCCCTTAGGACTTGCTACTTACACAATCCAGTCCACAGCCAGGATCAGAGAGAGGTCATGAGTGGGCAGCCCAATGGCCTCCAGGATAATGGCGATAGTGAGAACTCCTCCAGCTGGCACGCCTGCTGCTCCAACACTAGATGCTGTGGCCGTCACTCTAGGGGATGGCAAAGCAGGGTGAGCAATTAACACAGAGCACGCAGTGGGCACAGAGAAATGCAGAACATGGCAACCACTGCATGAAACTGAAAACCACACAACCCTAGATTCTGCTAGCTGAGCCCTAGAGAAATGATTCACTCTCTTCAAGCAATGAATTCATGCTGTCCTCACTTTACAAATGAGACACCGGAGTTATGGCGAGATTGGTGTTCATGAGGTTTTTCAAAGGAAATCACGAGAAAAACCTCAAGTTTTGACCCAAACCTACAGGTGAAGGAAAGAATAATGAACCTACAGAATCGTGAAAATCTGTCCTGCTTTCAGCTCTATGTTGTTGAGCTGGGCAATGAACACCGCGGCCACACACTGGAAGATGGCTGCTCCATCCATGTTCACGGTGGCCCCGATGGGAAGAATGAACCTGCTGATCCTCTTGTCTACGCCATTGTTTTCTTCAATGCACTTCATCATAGAAGGAAGGGTTGCTGAGCTAGAAATGGAAAAACAGCCCACCATGAGAACAGGCCCTCCCAGCCAGGCTAACATAGTACTCAGCTCCGACCCAGGAACACAGCAATTAGCACCATCCTAGTTTTTGGCTTTCTCTCCTTGAAATAAGGGAAAAATCCAAAATGTTTCCAAGTTTCTGTTACAACAAGGGGTTCTGTCAACTCCCAAAGTATTCAGAATCTGATTGCCTAGATTTACCTGTTGTGTTATTTACCTGGATACACCTGTTCCAAATTTCTCCGGAACCACACATTGCCTTGTGGTGTAAAATGTTCTCAAGAGAACAAATAACTATTTACTTTTTATGTGCATCTCCTCTCTTGAATGGTTTTTTTTTCCCCAAAAAAGTAAAAGGCAAACTATGATTCTCTTTTTTTCCTTTGAGGCCAAGAAGCAGAAATGGCTCTGAGAGTTTGGAAAGAGTAACCGTGTCGATGTTCCGTGGAGAAGACCTGCTCTCTTCAGCTGCCTCTGCAGGCTCTGAGGAGGATGGCTGGCGCAGCTCAGAAGTAGGTTCATATCTGCCCAAGCCAGAGAAACTTACCTCCCTAATTCTTTTCACCACCACTACTCCATCATACAAACAGCCATTCAGGATGGGAGGAAACATGCAGTAGAGAGGCAAAAACTAAATGTGTGAATGAAACAATGTGCTGCCATCCTTTGAAAGTTTTCTTTAACATATTGGGAAAGCCCAACCTTTTTTCGAAGGGATTTCCAATAATGACAAGGTGTATCTTTTGTGCTAAATTAGATAATCCCACAATACTGTGGACTCCTAGAGAGCTGAGCACACATCCCTCATGATGGTGATGATGGTGTCTTGGTCTTATTTTCTAATTCATGCATCCATAGGGAGAATTGGGCAGGTGTCATTCTAGAAACTTCTCTGCGATGCATTTTGAGTTAAATGGTTGCCTTCTTTTACTCAGGCAAAGGTCTTACTCATTAGAGTGAGGGCCCATATCTGGGTGAAATAACAATTTGATTGACTTTCAGGGAGAAGGAGGGAGAAGGGAATGAGGCAATCCCTCATTCTGACAATCCCAGAAACCCACCTCCATAAGAGCATTGGGGCTGGTAATACAAAAAAATCAGTTGAGACCAGCTTAGAGAGTTTTCAAGGGATTAAAACACGTCAAGATGCTAGCTGTGCATCCACCTCTGGCCTTACCTGTTTCCACCTTAATATGGCTCAGAGCAGCCAAGGGCACCCAGAACCCACTCACCTGGAGCAAGTGGCAAATGCTGTTGCAAACGGTGCAAGGAGACCCAGGAGGAACCTGAAGGGGTTTTTTCGTGTAAAAACAAAATAAATAAGTGGTAGAACAATTCCTCCATGAATGAAATGGCCCAATATAGATGTGAAGATGTATTTCCCAAGGCTGGTCACCAGCACGACGATGTCCTTCATTTCCACTATCTTGCTTCCAACGAGGAACATGATGCCCACAGGTACATACCTAGAGCACGAGCAAGGGCATTTGTCAGTAAGAGAGGTGCGACGATGGGGCTGGGAGATGCAGGCCCTTCCAGATACAGAACACAGGGACTTTCAACTAGGCGGTCTTCATCTCTCCCTAGGATGACCCTGAGGAATAGAAAAGGATGGGCCCATTTGACAGGCCATGAAACTGAGTAAAATTAACATGATGAATCACCCTGGCTAACGGAGTCAGGACCGGAACCCAGACTTCTTGCCCCTCGGATATATTATGTTCTTAACACATGGATGCTACCAACCCCATAGGCTCCTCCCAAGTGGAAAGGCAAGGAGCTCTTAAGGATCAAAGCCTGAGACTGTGAGCCTGACCTTCCGCTTTGCTCAGGTCTGTTCCGAGAATTTAGAAACACAAGAGACTAACACCTATTTCGCAGAATCGCTGTGATATAAAATTGAACCAAAGCTGGGACTGCTGTGAAGTTTTAAGTTCTTTGTAGTTTGGAAAACACGATTCCGTGGGAAAAAGTCATTAACAATGACCCTCCGGGAACCCTCCTGGAGCGTGAGGGTTTTTTTAATGGCAGGAAGGGAAGGAATGAACCATGGGAGGTACAAGAACAAAAGTCTGTTGTTTTGAATTTCATATAAATTGAGGAAGAATTTTGCAACCGTTGACTTCATTTGTAAATTTTAATTATATAAATGATAATGTCACATAGTTCAAATTTCAAAGGGTACAAAAGGGTGAAGAGTGTGAAGTCTCCCGCCACCGCTTTGCCCCCAAGCACCCAGTTTCTCCCCTGGAGATAGCCAATGTCACTGGTTTATTGAGTTTTCTTTCCAGAGATATTCGAAGCAGTATTATTAATTTTAAATCCCACAGCAATGCATGAATACATTCTTCTTTCAAATACACAGAAACCTCATTTGTTTTAACTGTGGTAAAATATGCATAACATAAAATTTACCATTTTCACTATTTTTAAGTGTACAGTTTAGTGGCATTGAGTACATTCACATTATTGTGCAGCCATCCCCACTATCCATCTCCAGAACTTTTCATCCCCCCCACCCATTAAACAGTAAACCCTGTTCCCCGCTCCTCCTGTCCTGGTAACCTCTATTCTACTTTCTGTCTCCATGAATTTGCCTACTCTAGGCACCTCCTATAAGTGGAATCATACAATACTTGTCCTTTTGTGGCTGGTTTATTTCACTTAGCATAATGTCTTTAAGGTTCATCCATGTTGTAGCGTGTGTCAGAATTTCACTCCTTAAGGTTGAATAATATTCCATTGTATGTTTATACCACTTTTTGTTTATCCATTCACCTGTCAATGGACATTTGGGATGTTTCCGCCTTTACCTCATTCTTTTTAAATATTAGCCTCAGAACTGAAATACTATGGATTATTTTGCCATTGCCCTGCCGATGGACATTTACATTGTCCCCAGGTTTTCATCATTGCAAACAACACTGCAAACAGGTCTCTTTGTGCCCACATGCCTATGTTCTTGAGGTGGAGACACCGAGAAGTGGAACTGCTGAGTTATGGGGTGTGCATATTTCAAATTTCAGTAGATACTGACAAACTGTTCTCCAAAGTGGCTGTTCCAATTCACATTCCCGCCAGCTGTCTAGGAGAATAATCCTTTCCTGCACCACTGGTTCTCATCCATGGATGCTTTTGCCCCCAGGGACATTTGGCAATGTCTGCAGACACATTTGGTTGTCACAATTTTGGGGAGGGGGTGCTGCTGGCATCTAGGGGTGGAGGCAGGGATTATGCTAATAAACATCCTACGGTACACAAGACCGCTCAACAGAGAATGATCCAGCCCAAAACGTCAACAGTGTTGCTGGTGAGAAACCCTGTCCTCACCTTATCGATGCCTGATAAAACCAAACTTTTCATTTCCCTGATTTCTAACAAGTTGGGCAGCCCTTAAAATCTTTACCTGTCATTCAGATTTCCTCTTCTATGAAATGCCTGCTCACATACTTTGCCCATTTTCTAATTGTTTATTCAGTCTTTTTTCTTTTTCAATAATCAGAATGCTTTATATTAGTGCTTCTCAAACTCTCTTTGGTGAGAGACCAGTTTATTTCTATGCAGCCAGTCATGGACCAATATTCTTATGAAAGACAATAAAAATAAAATATTAGAAAAATGATCATGTGCTTGAATGTTGCAGCAATATGAAATTGCTATAAAAGTTTCTAAACACTATTCTCAACTTCCCTATAAATCTCACTGCAGACAGATAAACAGATTGTGAACTGGTACCTGTCCCTTGGATAGGAATGCTTCCAGGTCGTGTGTGTGTGTATATACACACGTACTATCTGTAAACAGATATCAATTTTTTTCAACAAGTGTCTTGTCTTTAATTTTGTTCAAGGTAGCTTTTACATGCAAACATTTTCTATTTTGATGTAGTCAAATTCAGCAGCTTTTTATGGCTTTTACTTCTCATATTTTGTTTAGGAAGACTCCTTACTCCTAGATTTTCTTCTACTACTTTTAGAGGACTCTCTTCTTTCGTCCTTCCTTCCCCTCTGGATAGTTTAATGCACGGAACAGAGGCACGCTTGTTCGAGTACAAAGGGTCTCTGGTTGCTTTTGCCCTACGGTGGCAGAGCTGTAGTCGCGATAGAGACCATGTGGCCTGCACTTTGCTGACCGTGTGCTTAATCCATCGAGAAGTTATTTCTGCAAATAGTGCAGGGTGGGCAGGGGCTTTGACATCAGAGGAGGTCATCAGAGGAGGAACGAAAGCAGAAAGAGCTACTACTGAAGACCCCACCCACACCTGGTTGAGATCCTTTCTCCATTTAAGGCATTTTAAACCTCAGACACACTTTCCAGGCCACAGATCTCCCGCTGCAGTTGGAGCCTCAGCAGGGCCTGCCTTACCGAATACCTGCTTATGTAACTAGTACATCCCATTGAAGGAAGGACTGCAGATTGGTTTCCAGACTGAAAACGAACGTCTTAACATAGGAACATCACTCTCTCGCAAAGGGTTTCTTTTAATCCAAACTTTGGGAGGATTTCAGACTAAAAAAATAAGCCAGGAAAAGAACTTGACATGTGAGGAAAACACTTTTCCCTTTCTGAAAATATTTTTCTCCCGAGAACAACAGTCATAAGAAGCACAATGTTTGCAAGGGTAGAGTGTCAGATTCTGGAATTTGGGGTTGAGCAAGATAAACACCACCAGTGGGGGCTCAGGATGTGCTTCCCACTCAATTCTAAACTTTCCCACCAAATTCCAGGCTTCTCTCCTAAAATCAGTCCCCAGCGCCATCTGAGAGAGAGAAGTTGTGGGATATTTAAGGCTTGACAATAAGGAAAATGCTTTGTGCATGAAAGGATAGTTTCTCAACAACGAATGGGCAGAAGCTAAAACCCACAGAAGTTTGGCTTCAGTAAAACAGCAGGATGAAGCTTATGAGGCATTGGAACTGGAATTGGTATGATTTCTGAGAAGTTACTTTGAGGGATATGGTCAAATTTTTACTTTTTAGCCAGAAACCAATCTAATGGGTTTTATTAAACAATAACCCCATTCATTGATATTACGTAATGAAACATTTTTGTAAAAAAAGACCATTCTGGTTAATATATGCATGAGGTGAAGATGGATTAGTCTTCCATGCTGTGAAATACTACAGTAAGCGGCCCCTTTGAAGCTTGAAGGTTTAAGATAAATGAGCCTTATTTTATTCAGCACAGAGCAAACATGGAACTCATTGCCCCACAAGATGATATGGGCATCCCATAAAATATGAGATGATGGCGGGAACTCATAAACAAACAACCAATGATAGAACCCTAAGGGGTCACTGTGGGTGCTGAGGAAGTCAGTGATTCTCTGAGGTCCTGGACAAGAGGAGAAATCATCTCCACTTCCATCACCTGCTGTACCAAGATGGCCCATGATGCCTCAACCACATGCAGAGCACTGAGCCAGGTGGCCCCACAGAGTTAATCTAGAAGAGCAGAGTCGGGTTCTTTTTTGGATGGCAGGAGAAATGAGAGGGAGAGTAGGCAGTGGGGCGACACTCACCACATGATCCATGACACCAGCACCATTGTTGCCTCGTTGAGGGCATTGAAGAAACGGATGAGCTCCTCTCCTTCAGAGCCGAGTTTCTTTAGGGCCACTCCTAATACCAGAGCGAAAAGGACCAATCCCAAAATGTTCATCCCTTCAATCTCAGTGCCAACGGGGATCTGTAGGATCAGCGGGGACAGTGGGTCTAAGTTTCAGCAGATGAGTGAAAATTAAACATGCATTTGCTTGGTCCGAAACGCTGACTGAAACGCTATGCCAGAATGAGAAAAGGTTCATGTTTTCTTTAACCTTCAGCAATTTCACAAACTGAGGAGTAGGAAACTCAAAGGGAGAAGGAGTCCGAGGAACTTCTCCTTCAACCAAAGAAAGGCTGGTAGAACTCAGAGCCCCTCAGCCCTGGGGAGTTGTATATGGGGCGGGGGAAGCACAAAGTACCTCCTTCTTCCCATGACAGCTCTGTGGCTGGAATGAATAATCCTTGAAGTCCCTGGTCCCTTCCACCTCTATCATGAAGCCTGGGACCTAGCCCAGTGTCTGGCAAATAATACATACTCAAAAAAATACGTGGAATGAATGACAGCTATAGTGAGTTAAGCCCATAAGACAAGTTCCACGTGTAGAGGTAGGTAAAGTCATCTGTTAATTATATTTCAGGATAGCAGAATGGGTGTTATAAAATATTTTTTGAAGAAAGGGGATGTTAGTTCCAATTCAATGAAATGGATTCACTAAAGATTCCAACGCTCCAGACACTGGCCTTTGGCCAAGCTGGTAAACAGCCAAAGGAGCAAACCTAACCTGTGTGCCTCAAATAGTTCATTCTAACCCCAAAGTTTCCAGCCCTGCTGAGAAAAAGATGCATTGTGGATGCTCCTTCAGTGAAGAAACATTATCTGCTTTCTAAGTGTTTGTCACAAGTGATCTTACAAAGAGCTTTACCTTTTCACGGGTTACGTTTCCAGAGCTCGTGTTGTGGGTCACCTCTATATAATCGGTTGCATACTGTGAGCAAGAGAAAGAAAAATCCACTGTCAGTTCACGGGTGAAGACCGAACCAGAGGAACGGAGAGCACTGCAGGCCTCCGGCTACTCCTCATCATCCATTCCAAGGGTTCCGGGCACTCCTCACGTGGTTGGCCTGACAAGGCCTAGGAGAACTGCAGAAAAGCTACTTAAGACCACGACAGCATGCACTCCAAGAGGCCTCTGGGTTATTTAGGGACCCAAGAAAACAAGGAACATTTCCTCCGTCCCTCAGATAACGGTTTGGAGGAGAAGGTCTGCACAATTACACGCTCATAGTTTGATGCGATCTGGAGAACGCCTGTATTAATTCCATAAAGACAAAGTCCACTTTTCAATGTGTCATTTTATTTTCATTCATTTATTTGTGCTCCACCTTGTTCCAGAACTTATTTGAGCCTGACTGCTTTTCACCATCTGTTTCTAATCTGCCTGAGCCGCCGCTCTACAAAGCACAGGATGTGAGGCAAGGCGGCGTCTTCTGGCTGAGACTTCTGGGAGATTCACTTGGCAGAAGTGAACCGTCTCTGCAAACTTTGGTCCGACGGTTGACTTCACATACTCCTGCACGAGGCACACAGGTGACTCCCTGTGGCAGGATGCTCTATCGAGTGGAATCTGTTATAAAACCCCCTTCCTGACCTCTTTTAAGGACATCTGGCTTCTGAACTATCTGTGGGAGCCCCTTAGGGGGCACAGACCTGGAGGCTGCTTTCTGCCTGCCTTGGAGGAGCTCTGGGCTCTCCCGGCTTCGATTTACCAAGCTTTCAGATGGCTGAGCTGCTCAGATGTCCTGTAATCAGGGGTGGCAGGGGAAACAAACCCCATCCTACACTTTCTGTCACAGGCACTGAAAGCCCCACACACCTTTTACTTTTCTCCTACCTCATATTATATACACAAGGCACAGCTGGGCTGATATGCAGATTTTTTTTAAAAAGACTGTGAGGAGAAACAGGCAAGTCTTCACTTGAAAAAGGCAATCAGATTAGTCCATCTAATATAGACCTTTATATTCCTTCTCTGTGCAAAGCATGGCACAGGGACATGACTTGCAGCACTGCTAAAATGAGGGACAAACTAGAAACAGCCTGAATGCCCAGCACCAAGGGGCTGAGGGAGTAAACTGACGGTCTGCTCGCACAGTGGAACATAGCCAACGACACGTGTGGAAGGACATTTACCGGCCTGGGAAAACGTTCACAATATATTGTCTTAGAAAAGAGCAGGCTGGGGCCGGCCCCGTGGCTGAGTGGTTAAGTTTGCGCACTCCGCTTCGGCAGACCAGGGTTTCACCAGTTCGGATTCTGGGTGCGGACATGGCACCATTCATCAGGCCATGCTGGGGCGGCGTCCCACATGCCACAACCAGAAGGGCCCACAAAAAAAAATATACAACTATGTACCGGGGGACTTTGGGGAGAAAAAGGAAAAATAAAATCTTTAAAAAAAAAAAGAAAAGAGCAGGTGACAAAACAATGTGTGCAGTGTGTGTACATACTAACAATATGTGTAGTATAATTATTTTTAAAACGTGTGTGTGCATGCATAGAAAAAACATATCTGAAGGGTGTATACCAAAATGTTAATGGGTAGCTCTAGGTAGTGATTATGGGTGATTCTTATTTTCTTCCACTTTTTTGCACTTTTTCATTTTTTTACAATGAGGATATATTACCTTTATAATCAGAAAAAATATGTGTATTTTTTAAAAAGTTCTAAAATACTTAACAGATTCCTGAAATGTGATTTGAAGGTATTTCTCAGGTGATGTGAAAAGATGTTGGAACCAGTGGGATATTTTAGAAAAATTTGGGGATTTTTTTTGTTTAGTGTTGTTTTGTTTTGTTTGTTTTCACTCCAGGGGCCCATCTATAAAACTTCAGGCCAATGTTGCCAAGCTTTGTTAATGATACTGTCGCTCCTTCTTCCACCCTACCTAACTCTACAGCAGTCATTTACACATCTTCCTCCCCCGTCAGTTTCACATTTTTAGCAAAGCATCAGGCCTTACCGTACGAAAAGCTGCAACCACAAGATTTGAAGGAAACAGGTTTCTGTTGGAAAAGAAAGCATTTCATCAGTATTATTAAAATTCAGTGCTCGAAGTGCCCACTTTAAGACGCCCATCCTGACAGCCTAACACGGAGTTCCCTCTCTCTCCACTTCAGCAGTTACTGGGTCTTCTGCTTGATCCAAGCCCCGAACTATGCCTCGGCCACTGGGCCACAATAGATCCTTGGAATGCACCAATTTTTATCTTCCTCTCCCTCATGGTACTCGTGGATATTTAGGCTTAACTGGGTCCATCCAGACCAGAATAACTGCATCACTTCCCTTTCCCCAAGAGGGTAAGCCCCACTGCAGTGGTTTTCAGGGGGGAGTGGTGCTGCCCACAGTGAAATGCAAGGGAGTGTTCTTGTCGCAATAAGTGGGGGGCATTCCTGAAACTGGCGGAGTGTGTGTAGGGGGAAGCGCCAGGGCCCAGCCACTTGTTCTGCTGAGTGTAGCCTAGTCCAGTACAATAAAAGGTCTCAAGTTCCTCATGCTTTCAAATGTATTATATGACATGTCTGTAGATGCAAGCCTTATTTATAATTACCTGAGCCTAAACTAGCTCCAAAACAAGGTATTTTTTGCACAACTTGAACACACACTGAATTTTCTGGGAGTGCAACTCCTGTGTAAAATGTGGGATAATTATTTTTTGTTTTGTTCAGAGTGTTTCCAAATGTGCATCTTCCAAATTTTCTGAATTGTTCATCTTTCTGGAAAATCACATCACCAATGGCAAATTGCAGGATCTGGGTCCTCAGTTGCAAACACCAGCATCAAGTATCTGTCTGCATTTATAGCTTTTTATTTTATATTTTATTTATAGCTTTTTATAGCTATAAATTTATAGCTGCATTTATAGCTGTCTCATTAATGGTGACTCTAAATTCAGAATTAAGCACCTAACCACTTTCTTTTACATATTGAAACACATTATTTTTTATTATAAATTACTCTTCTCTTGTCTTTGATATTACAGTTAAGACAGATGTTTTGAGATTACGTGTGTAGGTAAATTCTACCTACATTTGAATTGAAATACCTGGATTTCATTTCAAGATGAAGGATATTATAAAATACTTGCTACAAAAGCAGGATAATAGAGCTGATCAAGTTAAGCTCTATTTTGAAGCTAAAATCTATTCATGTAAACAGTTTTTACTGAAGGCCTTCTTTGGGTCAGGCTCTGTGCAGGATGCCGGCCTTGATATATAAGAAAATCCCACTGACAGTCCATTTTGTTCTACTCACTTCCTATGAGAATAAATCTAGAGAGTAAAAGACTCTGGACCCTCCTTTACAATTTGTGCCAAACTTATCCGCGAATTCTTACTTTGTGGTTGAGTTGTTCACCTAGCACTAGCATCTCTAGGCAACTATTTGCAGTGCATTTGGTTTCAGAGGTAGGCAGTTCTGACTGCAACCCAGCTTGGCAAGCAGAGGCTAAGATGGACTGCCAGTAGTCACACCTTTGTGTAATACCCTCCCTTGAGTGTGGGTGGGGCCTATGACTTGCTTCTAACCAACAAAATACAGTAAGGGTCATGGGATGTCACTTTCATGATTTGGTTACATAAAACTGTGGCTTCCATCTTGCCAGAAAACGCTCTTTATTCCTGCTGAGCTTGCATGTTTGATGTTGGAAAGGCCCATGTGGCAAGAAACTGAGGGTGGCCAGTGGCCAACAGCCAACTAGGAAGTGAAGCTCCCAGTCTAAACTTCAAGGAACTGAATTCTGCCAACAACCATGTGACCTCAGGTGAATCCTTCCCTAGTTAAGCCTTTAGATGAGACCTCAGCCATGGCCAACACCTTGATTGCAGCTTTGTAAGAGACTGAAGCAGAAGACCCATGCCAGGATTCTTGACTCCACTGATACAGTGAGATAATTAATGTGTGTGATTTTAAGCTGCTAAATTGTTGGTAACTTGTTAGACAGCAATAGGTAACTAATACAACAGCCAACAGGGTTAATGAGATGCAGAAATGACTTCATTAGTACAATTAGGGTGCTTCCACAAGACAGCCAGCATCTAGAGACTGCAACACAGCATTTCCCAAACTTACTTGTCTATGACCAGAATTGCTTAGAACATACTTAGAGAATACCAGGAAGTACACATCTGCATTTAAGCAGACAAAACGTGATTGTGAGTTGAATTAACCACTGCAAAATGGTGATCAGAAATTCCATTCCTATCACAAACATATTTACTTAAATAAAAAAAAGGCAGAAACAGACTAGCAATTTGCATTGGCTATTCTTTAACATATAAATGAATAGCAACTTACATTTGCCTATTATTTTCACTATAAAGCACCTTTCTTACACATTTCAATCTTGGGGCGTAGGTTTGGTATCTCATTTCCATTTGCTATACTAGTTAGAAGCAGAAACAGGTCAGGAGACAGGTTTCCCTGTCCACCACATCACAACTGTCAGTAGTTCCCAGACTGAGCTGGCCACGGGGTTCTCCCCCTAAGACGGCAGGGAAGTTAAGGAAAGAGCTGGGTTAGAAGCCCTCCATCTTCCCCATAGGGAACAATTTCTCCTGCAAATACCCTGCATCCTTCAGGGATCAGCCATTTCCTCAAGGGGTGCGAGCACAGCCTTTCCCACAGCCTTGAAATGCAGTCTCTTCCAAAGAGCATACACTATTCGTTTAAGCCCTTCTATCTGGCCTGCCTGGTCTCTTTAGCATAAACAATAACCCAATACCTTCTCACCCAGAATGGACCCTGACCCTAACCCAGAACTTGTAAACCAAACAGCCACTGACACATCCACCTGTTTTCAGACAGTCTACAGTATCTAATCTACAAAACCCAACATGAACAGAGGGCTACAGACAACACTAGAGGCAAAACAGCCACGCCTGCCAAAAAAATCAAGTTCCTAAGAAGAACACGATGTATGCTGGCAGTTTCTTAAAGTTAAACATACACTTACCATATGACCCCGCAATTCCATTCCTAGATATTTACCCGAGAAATGAAAATACATGTTTGCAAAAAGGACCTATATGTAAAACAGCATTCTTCATAATAGCTCAAAACTCAAATGGCCATCAACAGATGAATGAACAAACAGATTCTGATAAATCCATACCATGGAATCCTATCTGGCAATAAAAAGGAACCAGCTACTGATAAACACAATGTGGATAATCTCAGCCACATCGTGCTGAGCAAAAGAAGCCAGACAAGTACACGCTGAATGATTCCATTGATGTGAAAGGCTAGAAAAAGCAAAACTAATCTATAGTGATAGAAAGCAGAATTTTCTCTCCAAAACTGCCTGGGGCCAGGGGTGGAGAGCGGGGACTGCCGAGAAGGGTCACGGACGACAGAAATGTTCAGAGTCTGGATTGTGGTGGTGGTTAAATGAGTTATCTATTTGTCAAAACTCATTGAGCTGTACACCTAAAATGGGTGCATTTTATTGTACGTAAATCATACCTTAAAATTGCTTAAAAAGTTAAAAAAGATGCAGTGATTTCATAACCCCTCCCAAAAAACCACATTCAAAGGGATGACTGAACTTTACTTCAGCTCTCAGATATTTATTCCTGGGAAGGAATCGTCTGGGGGCAGGGAGCTGAAGCTCGTGCATCCACAAAATCCTACTCCTTTCCCTTGGTCCCTCTGGTTGCCACAGACAGCCTAGGAGCAGGAGCAGTCCCCTCCTGTGCGCACCAACGGCCAAGGAGCGGAGGCTGTGGGAGTAAAGCAAAAGATTTCTCTGCACTCTTCCTCGATCCGATCGTACCTTTGGTGTCATATCAAGAAGGCACTGCCCTACCCAAGGTCCCCTAGGTTTTCTCCAGCCTTATGTTCTGGGAGTTTTAGTTTTGCACTTTACACTTAGGTCTATGATCCATTTTGAGTTAATTTTTGTGAAGGAGGAAATGTCTGTGTCTCGATTCATTTTTTTGCATGTGGACGTCCAGCTGTTCCAGCACCATTTGTTGAAAAGATTATCTTCGCTCCATTGTGTTGCTTTTGCTCCTTTGTCAAAGATCAGTTGACTGTATTTACATGAGTCTACTTCCGGGCTCTCTATTCTGTTCCATTGATCTATTTGCCTATTCTTTCGTCAATACTACAGTCTTGATTACTGTAGCTCTGTGGTAAGTCTCATAGTCGGGCAGGGTCAGTCCTCTGACTCTGCTCTCTCTGCCCTCTTCCTACCCCTCGCTCCTGTGGCTTTTAAACACAGATACCGCCATGAACTCTGGCTTTTTCTTGCTCCTAAGCTCTCCTGCATGCAGGATCAGCTGCTCGTCATGTTTTGCTCCCCAGAGCTCTGTCTTTGGGCACTTTTCCCAAATCCTCACATTCACACAGTAACTTTGTGGGCTTTCAAAGTGAGGAAAACTTGGGCTGGAAGGGATTTTAGCAGTGATCAAGTTCAACTCCCTCATTTTGCCCATGGTAACACCAAGGCCCAGAGACGTTGAGTTGATACATCTCCCACTCATGCTCCATCTAGGCCAACACTGTCCAATAGAACTTTCTATATTTGTGCTGTCCAATATGGTAGCCACATGACTACTGAGCACTTGAAATAGGCTAGTCCTACCGAGGATCTGAATTTTTAGTTTTATTTACATGTAAACTAGTTAAATTTCAATAGCCACTTGTGGCTAGTGTCTACTATACTGGACAGTGCAAATCTGGAGTTTTGAGATCCAGAGTCTGGAAATCAGAAGGACCAATGGTCTTCTCATGGTTACCTCTGCACAGCACCAATTTCACTGGGTGTTAGGGTGCTTCTAACCGCTGCGCTCTGTATCTTATTCAAATCCTCAAATATTTCTTTGCTCTGTTATTTGATCCTGAGAAATTTACTTGAATTACATAATACCAGATATACATTAGACCAAAGTTTCTCAAACATTAGTAGGCCATGAAATCAAGTTATTGGCTCTAACCAGCACTTTATAAAAGATGTCAAACATTAGACAGAACAGAAAATATCAGCATGTATCACATTTAAAAT